AACTCTTTAGTTGTCCTAACTACTTTCAAAAAGAATCGAAAAATATAAAATCTGTAAAAAATCAAAGGTTTATAAAAACAAACAAAAATGAGAAAACAGCAAAGTTACTTTAAAGCCTTAAATGGTTTTTTCGAAGTTTAATTTCTAGATACATTTTTTTGTCAAATTTCCTTTTACAAAATGTTTTTGTTTTTTCTTGCAACATTAATGGAATAAAGCTCCCCCCATATGGACTCACTGCCTGATCTAAAAAAAACTATACAGAATAAATCACAGCATGGAAAAGTTTATTTCAGAACAGACCAGAGATGTTTAGCAACCTAAATAGATTAATAAACTAGGCCTTGTTAACCTCCCAGATAAAACATAAAATCATCCATTTCTTTATAAATAAACATTAAAGGTACATGGAGCACAAGCTGAGAGCTGGAGAACGTATAATAATCATAGAAAACAATCAACTAGAGATTCCAGGTGATTGAAAAATAAACAGAAGTTAACTGTTTGTCCAGACGAAGCAGTGACTATAGTTTTATGTAGGGAAAAACTTGAAAATATAAAAAAAAACAGAAAAAAAACTGCAGAATTTTTTTTTAATCTAAGAAATTAGAAATTTCTCCCTGAAAAAATTACTTTAATTGAGGAAATAGTTTAAGTCTAATAGAGGCTTAGTTTGTATGTTCCTTAATATTTACAGCTTCAAATAATCTTAGCAGAAAACTAAATGTAACATTTATAAAATGGGGTAAATCTGTTCAGAAAGCATCTTGGATCATTTTATCTTTTTTATTGAAGTGAAAATTGAGCAAAAGTGAATTAGTAACCATTTTTCTTCTGGTCTTTAAAGACGTTTAACTCCTGTTTTATAAACCTGTGAATTCGGATCCTGGTTCAAAGTTTAACTGCTGTGGAAAAAGCAAACATTTGTTTAGACTCAGATCTCTTGATTTAAGTTCAGATTTGTTGCCGCCTCCTTCCGATCGAGTTTGAGTTGACTTTAAATCGCAAAGTTTAATCCCTGTAACAGAGTCACTGTAATACTAAAAATCAAACTTAATTTTTGCAGCTGGAACTTCTTTCTCTGTTTCTTGCAGGTGATTTAAAATCACACTGTTTAGGTTGTAAAACATGAAATAATCTGAGATTAACGTTGTAAAGGAACTGATTCCGCCTCATTTAGGCATCTGCTGCTATCTGCAGTAAAACAAAGAAAACCTCCATGGAAATAAAATTGCAACATTTTTGCAGCTAAAAATCGCATTTTTGGTGCAAGAAAAAACAGGAAGTGATTTAAAAAAAAGCAGCCAGAGTCCGAAGAAACTTCTGAACTTCAGAAACTGATGAACTGTTGATCAAGGCCAGTTTTACGGAGCCCCTAAAGGGACATGGAGGGAAAAAAAAGAACTTTTGCGAGATCTCGCAATAGTTTTGCGAGATCTTGCAAAAATATTGCGAGATCCGGCAATACTTTTGCGAGATCCCATAATACTTTAGCGAGGTCTCGCAAAACTATTGCGGGGTCTCGCAAAAGTTTTTTTTTGCAAGATCTCGCAATACTTTTGTGGGATCTCGCAAACGTATTGCGAGATCTTGCAAAAGTTTATTTTTTGCGAGATCTCGCAATACTTTGGCAAGATCTCGAAATACTTTTGCGAGATCCTGCAATACTTTTGCGAGGTCTCGCAAAACTATTGCGGGGTCTTGTAAAAGTTTTTTTTTTGCGAGATCTCGCAATACTTTTGTGGGATCTCGCAAACGTATTGCGAGATCTTGCAAAAGTTTATTTTTTTCGAGATCCCGCAATACTTTTGCGAGGTCTCGCAAAACTATCGCGGGGTCTCGCAAGTTTTTTTTTGCGAGATCTTGCAATACTTTTGCGAGATCCCGCAAAACTATTGCGGGGTCTCGCAAAGGTTTTTTTTTGCGAGATCCCGCAAAAGTATTGCGAGGTCTAGCAAAAGTTTATTTTTTGCGAAGGCTCGCAAAGTTTATTTTTTCCCTCCATGTCCCTTTAGGGGCTCCGTACATTTTAAAGGTAGAAAAAAAAAATCTGGACGCTTGTAAAGAAATAAGGGACGACTCAAGACTTTTGTACAGAACTATTTATGTAATTTCCGCATATTTAAATGTAGAAGAGTAAATTTTATCCAGTGTTTCGTATCACAGTTCAACAGGAAACAAGCCCCTCCCCCCCAGTTAATTTAAATGTTTGTGTTTTTCGGCTTTAGCCGAAGCTTCTCTGCTGCAGCCGCTTCATGCCGAGGCTTAATCCAGATTTCTAGAACAAAACCAAGATGCTCCCGTTTGCTCCTCGTTCGCCGCCGTCCAGCTTCCCGTCATTTTCACACGTCCGTCGGCACCTGGCGCCCGCTTCCTCTATCAACGTGCCTTGTTCCTGATTTTTCAGTCTGGATATAAAGAATCCAGAAGCACTCGGCTTGTTTTCCTGTTTAAAAACTAACAGAGAGCTGGAGAAACGAAGCGGAGACGTCGTTCCTGCTGTTACGTTTTTATTTTTTTTTTTCAAAGTCTAACCTGGAGGGAAAGTTATTACATTGATTACTGATGAGCTGCTCTTTGGAACAAACACTGAACGAGAAATTAAAAAGGTGCAGCACAGTAAAGTTTGTCTTCTTGGCTGCCGTCAGCAGACAATCACCTTTTTATTACTGCTTATATTTTTATACTGAATATAAACCCACTATAAAGTTTTTGTGCACAGGAGCGTCGGGGAATGTGGTGACAATCGTCTTGTTTTTTTTTTTGTGATTTCTGTTTTTGTAGTTTGTGATCTCCTGAGTGTTTCACTGCTCACTCTTGGAAAAGTTTAAATAAAGTTTTTTACACGTTCTTCAAAGTTTCTGTTTTTCCAAATTTTTTAACCAACTTTTAAAACCTTTGCAGGACAAATGAAACGGGATGGGGATATGATGCTTGTAGTGGCGATTGTTTGTCAAACCAAACATCCAATAAAGTTCCAATAAGCCACTATAGGCACTGGGGTCACGTTTTCTTGACGCAGGCAAAAGAAGTTGAAGTCCAGACTTGTAGATGTTCAGCTTATTTATTTCCTATATTTTTTGCAACATTACAGAGTTCAAACATTCCTTGCTCTGTCACCTCTCTTGTGCTGGTAAAAACCCATAGGCCCCTAACCCAAATGCCTGCTGGTCCTTACTGTACCTGGCTCCTACAATTATAGAAGTGGACCGCCCACATTTCTTCCTGTTTTACATAAAAGAAAAAATGATAAAACAACAAAAAATAAATACGCAAAATTCAACAATGAACCTATAAAGTCTGTAAATAATACAAAAAATATATAAGTTTAAGAATTAACACGATTCAAATTGATAAAGAAATGAAGAATAAATAGCTCCAACAATGCTTTTAAAGGGTCGGTAACTTGATTTACATGAAAAGTTATGCAAGTGTAAAATATTTTAGTTGTTTCTTTTATTGATATATTAAAAAGAACAAGTAAAAGCTGTTTTATTTGTATTTTTAGGAAGGTTACAGGCTCTAAAAAAGTATTAAGTCATGTTTCTCTTCCTGTGACTAACTGGATGTGCTCTCTTCATCTTCTGACATGGGAGCTGGCTCAGAGT